CACTAAGTGCAAAAGGGTTACAGCACCCAGACCACTGTAATTAGATGAAGTGCTTTGGGTGCCTACAATGTCCCTTTAACGATGTGCCTATGACTATCGCCAATATATATGCACCCAACAAAACCAGATAGATTTCCTTGCCAAAACCTTTTCAAAATAAACTCAATAAAACACGGACAGCTCATTATCTGTGGGACTTTAGCTGTGTATTAGATCCACAACTGGACATTTCAAGTAGAGTACTGCAAAGAATAGGAAGAGTAGGGAAAGTAAAAAGCTGTCATTACTGTGTAGTAAATATGACATATACAACACGTGGCGCACCCTCTACCCCACTACCAAAGATAATACATATTACTCTGCGGTATATTCCATGTATTCCAGACTTGATATGTGTCTTGTGGATAGAACGAATCTACACAATGTAAAAAATGTAACAATAGACACGATGACTTGGTCCGATCATGCCCAACACTGCACCCTGCACGAGGGAGGGGACTGTGGTGACTGAATGAATCCGCTTTACGTAACAAGGAGATTCATTTCAACCACTTGGATAGCCCATAAGGCGTGTTTATACAGATAGGGGCTAGAGCTAAAAGAAAGATAGGCATCGATACCTCCACTTTAGAGAGGCAGACAGGGCACCTGGAATCCCGTAACAAAGAAGCACCAAGTAAGAAAATAGGCAAACAACTCAAGCATTGAGAATTGCACTGGAGTGCATACAATTACAAACCACAGAATGTAGCCTGATAAAACTTAAACATACACACTACACTCAAGGCAACAGAGCAGGCAAAATATTGGCTTCAAAGCTGAAAGATAAATTTGCCCAAACAAAAATAACATATATATACAACAAGGAGGGGATCAAGTTGGTGAACCCTACCCATATACTAAACGAATTTACCAACTACTATGATTCTCTTTACAAAAAGAGAGAGAACAAGGAAATCGAGCAACCCTCGGACAGGGCCATAGACGATTTATTACGTAATATTGACATAGCTAATGGGATGGACGCTGCAGTTACTGAGGAACAGGTCTGCAAAGCGATAAAAACGCTGCTATCCAATATTTATTATATAACTTTTGTAGACATTCTAACACCATACCTCACATCTCTCTTTAACAATATTATGGCGACAGGCGACATACCCCACGAAAATGCTGGAGGTGAATATTATCACACTACCTAAGCCAGACAAACCACCAACCAAATGCGAAACCTTTGCCCAATTTCGCTTCTAAATGCAGATGCTAAACTTTTTGCAAAAGTCATAGCCAACTGCATAAAGCTCCAGATAACATCCTTAATATCCAAGGAACAGGCTGGCTTTGTACCGGGTCACCAGGTGGGGGGAAACACTAGGCTTTTTTTTAAACCTTATAGAAATAATAAAACGGAGAGGGGAGTCAGGCTTTTATTGGTGCTGGACACCAAAAAAGCCTTCGACTGTCTTAACTGGGGTTGTAAGAAAACGGTTCTCCACAGATTTGGTTTCCCACCGAACTTCCTTACAGCAATCCCAGCATCATATACAGCTCCCTCAGCTAGGGTTCTAAACTCGGAGTTTCTATCTAGGAAATTTACATTATCCAATAGCACACGTCAGGAATGCCCGCTATCTCCATTCATTTTCATACTAGCTTTAGAACCACTGATAAAACACATTCAAATGCAAACCCACATTAAAGGTATACACAAAGACATAGGCTTACATAAATTGGCACGGTTTGCCGATGATATCCTACTTATTCTTCAGGACCCCCTAGAGTCGCTACCGCACATATTGTACCTTCTGCACACCTACAGCACAGTCTCATACTATAAGAACAGTATCGCAAAAACACAAGCACGCCCAATAAATATGACTAAATCGACAAAATTGGCACTATCTACAAAATTTCAATTTGGAGAGAAAAAATACTCACGTACCTAGGCATACAACTAGCGACAACAAAACACAAACTCACTCAGGCAAACCATTTAAGGCTACTTAATTGTAGATTATGCTAACGTAGTGTACCTATAATCTTAATTTTAATAATGACAGGAGGCGAATATTTTGCATAACTTTCTTTACTTTATGCCTCCAGCAGCACAAGTCAATCAATAAACTTTAAACCAATCAGTAACAGGCATCACATCCATATATAAAGCCCTGACAGACACATGACTTCCTCTTTCTTTGATGCGAAAAACAGTCTATTATAACGTCAGGGAATTCAAATAACAGTCCTGATTAACGTGTAGCAAATAACTTGAAACGAAACTTGAAACTTTCCTGCTTTATCTTGTCGAATCCATCTATGATTCCGCTGAAAAGAACAGAAATACGTGAAAGGTGATGGAAACCAACTGTTGTCCACATTAAATCCAGTACTATATGTGTCTATATTTACATTAAGTTAATATACTGAAACATTAAACAAACCATAGTATACTTAATAATCAACACGGATCTAACACATATCAACCAAATAAGCATCCCATAAATATACTGAATTACCAAAACCTTATAATTTACACTGAGAAAATGACAAACCAGAATATAAAAAATTTCCAGAGTATAGGGAGGGAAACAGGGAGGGAAAATATTCGCCTCCTGTCATTATTAAAATTAAGATTATAGGTACACTACGTTAGCATAATCTACAATTTTATCACATGACAGGAGGCTTCATATTTTGCATTTTTAAAGCTGTGGTATGAGCGAGAAGGATGCGTGTGTGGTTGACGAAAATAAATATACGGAAGTAGTCTATCCGTGTCCAATTCGTCGCTGAAAATATAGAGGCCCCCTCGTGAAGGCCTGAGAAGCAGCCGCGCCTCTTACCGAATGAGTACCCAAACACGTCTCCACCCTCGCTAGCGATAACAACCAATGAACCCATCTAGACAGAGTGTTCATGGTAACTGGCTTGTACGGTTGGTATAAGACCAGCAGATGTCCTGAATGTGACATTCTAAGTGTTGTCGTGATCTCCATGTAACAAAGTACCGCTTTAACTGCACAAAGACTGGGAAACCGTCGGTAACAGGGAACGATACGGACACGGATAAGATATAGTTCTACGAGACACTGTAGAAATCATTCTTTCCGGTGATACCGAAAAGACCGTCTACGTCGAACTCCAGTACATCTGATACCCGACGAAAAGACCTAAAAGTAACGTGACTCTGGCTAACGGCTGACTGAGGGATAGGACCGTGATATCAGATTAGCTCCAAAAGAACCAAATCAAAGTCCCACACCAGTGATACTTTGACGCATGGTTCTGGACGGTTTGATACCCCGCAGAAAATGGCATATCAAAGGCTCTTGATTGACCAGAGTGTCGTGAATCGTGCTATGCGTCGTCGAAATCGCGGAACGTAGCCCGTTAATGGAACGTTCTGATCGGCCTGTAGTGAAAAGGTATGATAAAGTTCCAGCATCGTGGAGATAGGGGTAATAAAAGGATCGCAGTCCCTTCCCATACACCAGCGAACTCCAGGTGTTCCATGCGGATAAGTTATTTCGGGGGAATACCTGGCGTCCATGAGTCCCATAGTAGGTCTCTAGTTGGTTGCGATAGTCCCTTGACATACCAGTCTCCCCTGGAAGACACCAATCTACCAACTCCAGATGCTCCTGCATTCTCAATGGATGACGTTCTCCTTTTGGATCCGCCCGAAGGCAAGTTAAAACGGAAGGAGCAGAGGATGATCCTGATTAAGGACAACCCTACTAGGTGTCACGCTTGCCTCCTTTACCGCAGTACTGAGTACTATCGAAGTCTTCGCTATTCTGATCCCAATTTCATAGGTGTGTCCGTATCTAAGGCAGTGAGCTTTCAGCCACTGTCTGGCCCGGTAGTGAAGCAGTCCTGGGAAATAGTCAAAGGGTTATGGTGCCTTTCCGCCGTACCCGTCGAATTTCCTTAAGAATCGTCGCTATCAATGATGTGGGAGGGTGTAATCCACCCAAGGTAGAATCTATTCTGAAATAGAGAAACTGAATTACTCGGAACTGGGATCGAACCGACTCCTCTCTGTTCACTATGAATCCCAACAATTCCCGAAACTGTAAACATAAATCTCGTTTGTAAACGTAGTCATAAATTGGATTTGCAAAAGGTAAGTCATCTAGGTATGTGACAGCAGATACCCTTTGCTTTTCAGTGCGCAGTGACCGACTTCAGAAACTTCATGAGGCATCATGTGAACCTATAGGTAAGTGCCCTTCAAGTCCAACCTTGTAGATCCCCTAAGAGATGGATACCTTCCTTCTTGAGTTGTCGGTACGCCCCAAAACCATTGGGTTGGCATAGGTTGATGACTGGGTGATAGTCTCCTATCTTCTTCCTTACTACCAAACCGTTGCTGAGATAAATGGTTCTCCAAACGATAGTCCGTCCGCCTGAGGTCCTCGCTCTTTCGTCCCTAACTTCAATAGTTTGAAATCCATCTTTAATCGGGCTGCTTTGCAGCGTTCTGTGCACCTGTCTGCCTTGCGTTCCCCAACTTACATATTGCCCTTTGCACCCATTCCCTCACATTGTGAGCTTCTAGAGGTGAGTCTTGTGTGGGGTTGGGTCCGCAAAGTATATAATTTTTTCCCGGGCTGATCATATCCAGTATTTCATCTTAATTCATTTTGAGTCCTCCTCCTACACCTTTACATGGACCCCGGCCTGATCGGGACATACATATCACCACGAGCTCCATAGTGAGGACTATCTTGTTCGGACATAGAGGGCGTGGGCATTACATCCTGAGCCTGTCTCAGATTTCTTTTCCCATAGGCCTCCTAAGCCAGAAGTGGGCCCGGTGCTCCGGTTAACCCCATTCGGATGACCCTGGTTGTCGGATGGTGCGTCAGTCAAAACAGGAGTGTCCAGTGTGCCAAAGAAAAAACCTTTCTTGCTAGGCGGGTCTTGTCACTTTTACCTCTTCTGCCCTCCATTCTTTCATGATCTCCAGAGAAGGGGGGGAGGATGAAGTCCTCGTCCCCTGATGATGGGTGTCCGACCTAACGTCGGTATCTCAATCTTCCATTGGTGTTGCTGCCGTTGCACCCGCTCTGTCAGATGGGTTGTTAGCCAGCATACTGGAGAGAACTTCTTCCCCCGGAGCTGTCATGGCGGCCTTAATCCTCGCCTGAAAATCGGTCGGGGATATTGAGGTAAGTCCGACATGTTGGTTCACACCCTTTCGGTCCGTGGGAGACAGGATCGTACAACAGTACACTTATTGCCACTCAGTAGGCCTCCGCGTATAACTGGGGGTCACCCAGAATTTTGATCAATCAGTATCATTTTCGCAGGATCCGGGGAGTGGTCTGAGAATGAGGACACCCTCAGTAAGACCGGGATGAGCGGTCTGCAATGTCGGGACGTAGCCCGAGTCTGGGAGACGTGAAAGCCTCAATATATATAGTCCACGGGTTCATCCTTATATGGTCTAGAATTGTGGAGTTTTGGCAGCACTGTGAGTTCTCCTTCTCGGTTAAGGGAAGGGCGTACGGAACCCCAGTTGAAGCATAGAGGTGCCAGAATACATGCATCTAGTGCGCCCTGGTCTGTGCATACAATGACAGAGCGTACTCTGAAGGTAGAAGCCCTAGAAAGGGTGCGGGGGGTCACCCCTTTGTACCTATGCCACTAGCACCGGAGTAAGACTCGCTTGGGGTTCACCCAGCATAGGGGGTCACCCCTGTATGAATGTCTCTTATGGCATGTTGGGACACTCTTTCGGTCTATGGGGTACCGAACAGGTGTCAGGTACGGTAGTACACTTATTGCCACTTAGTGGGCCTCCACGTACAACTGGGGGTCACCCAGAATTGTTTCAATCAGTACCACTTAGAGATTTCCTGGGAGTGGTCTGAGGAGGGGGTCACCCTCAATAAGACCGGGATGAGCGGTCAGTAATGTCGGGACGTAGCCCGTGTATGGGGAGGTATGGTAGCCTCCAAATTATCCAAGGGGTCACCCTTATAGGATATAGTACTGTGGAGAATTGGCAGCACCATGAGCTCTCCTTCCTGGCTCTGTCGATATACATGTATTCAGTGTGACCTGGTCTGTGCATACAGTAACAGATCGTACTCCGTGGAAATGAGCCCGCCCTAGGGCGTGGGGGTTCCCCCCAGTATATGTATGTCACTAGTACCGGAATAATATTCGCTTGGGGTTCACCCAGAGTAGGGGGATCACCCCAGTATATGTATGTCACTAGGACAGGAACCAGATTCGCTTGGGGGTCACCCAGCGTAAGGGGGGTCACCCCTGTACCACAATGTCACTTTGGAGAGGTGTCTGCCACGCTTGGGGGTCACCCAGCGTAAGGGGGATCACCCCTGTTAATCACTCCGTTATGTGCCTCCACTACTGTGTCCTGGGAGGTGTATCCCTGTGGGGAAGGAGTGTATCCAATGGTTGTGAGGTCCAGTGGGAGTAGGGAGCGGAGTAAGATATCAGCTCTATTTAATTTCCCTGCCAGTAGATAGAGTAATGCATCCTCTATATGCCCACAGCAGGGGACAGTCCATTCATAATCCTCCAGATGTACAATAAAACTGTTATTCAACATGTCAATTGTATAGAACAGAATAGAGCAAACTGTCAGCAGATGCACACAACAGGGATCAGTCCTACATATTCATGCAGAGTTACATATAAAACTTTTATTTCACATGCCAATGAAATATGCCAGTATAGAGCTCAGCGGTGAACAGTCCATTCATAATCTTCCAGGAAAGGTACATAAAACCTTTATTCCACATGCCCATGAACAGTATTGAGCTCAAAAGTACTTGTAAAACTTTTATTTCACAGGAAAAATATATGAAACAGTACAGAACTAGCCGCCAGTTCGTGGGAATCACGAACTGGCCAAACGACATGGCCGACGTGAATCTCGCGAGTGCCGCGAGATTCAAGATGGCCGCCGTTCGCGTGCAAAAGTGCCGTGCGGCCCGCGATCGTAGATACGATCGCGGTCTGCCGGCATGGAAAAGAGTCCCCCCGACATCCCCAACCCCCAGAGACCTGCCCTGAAGTCCCAGCACCAATGAATAAAAAGCGTGCTCGCGGTAAAACGTTTAGTCCAAAATTGCAGGACAAGCTAATAAAGTTTAACAAAAGTGCCCATGAATATCCAGAAACAGTTTGGAGCAAAAACTGAATGTCTAGCATTAAAAATCTAACTAAAGTGACCATAGCGATATTAATAAAAACAGTTGGAGAAAACTGAAAGTCAATTAATAAAGTTTAATAAAGTGGTATCCAGAAAAAACAGTTAGGATTAAAACTGAATGTCTAGCATAAGGTGTCTAACTACAGTGACCATAGCAATATTAATAAAACAGTTTGGAACAAACTGAAAGTTAAGCAATAAATGATTAACTAATGACAATTGCAATATTCAGTAAAACAGTTTGGAGCAAAATACTCTGACCTGTGCCTTGGCTGGTAAGCAGCAAAGAAAGAGGAAGTCATGTGTCTGTCAGGGCTTTATATATGGATGTGATGCCTGTTACTGATTGGTTTAAAGTTTATTGATTGACTTGTGCTGCTGGAGGCATAAAGTAAAGAAAGTTATGCAAAATATGAAGCCTCCTGTCATGTGATAAAATTCCAGGCAACAACAGATGCAGAAATGGGAGAACAAAATGATATCCTGGCTTGGCTGAGTAAGCGCGGTCAAAATAATGGTGCTTTCGCAAATACTCTTCCTGTTCCGCACACTCCCCATAGCAATCCCCAAATCAATCTTAGCTAAATTCCAATGGCAGCTCAACGCACATTTATGGAAGCATAGACTGTCCCGAATTGCAGCCACAAACATGTACTACCGGTTACATGAAGGAGGCCTAGGCACTCCTAATATCCACAAATAGTATATCGCTACCACTTTAGCTCAAATAGAAGCTACTATTCATGCACCAGAATCCGCTTGAAAATAGTATTACAAAACCACACTCTATAGCACATTTGATGTTTGTACCTACCTCTCTCCACCCACTTAGGCTCGAACCATTCTGGCGACCCGCACCTGGTATACTTTGGCAATCAGACTCTTTGCACCTAGCCACACACTCAGGTATGCACCTCTAATACAACCTATCAAAACGTGTGTGAACGCAGGAATAGAAACTATAGCACAACTATATAACAAAACTGACCTTCTATAATTCCCGGTTATAAAATTTAAATATGATTTGCCTTCCAGGGAACTGTTCACTTAACACATATTGGCTAAACACAACATACAACCACCAACCTCAACAGAATGGGGAGGCATTATCCAAGTGTACAAGGAAATAAGGAAAGGCATAAAACCACTAGCACTTTGCTATAGAGCACTACAAGAACACACCAAACCTATAAAATTCTCATAAATGTTTAAATGGGAGGAGGAAATTAGCACTCAATTCTCAACCAAACAGTGCTCAAAGCAATAAGGGATACCAAACAGGCGACAAGATGCATAGACCACATAGAAACAACATACAAAGTATGGATGAGATGGTATATGACATCACATAGGTTAGCTCACATTTTTAACAATACGACATCCAACTGCTAGAGATGGGAGGACCAAGTAGGGACCATAGGCCATGTATTCTGGCACTGTAAGATAATGCACCCATTTTGGGATAATATAAAACTAGTGATATGTAAACTATCGGATATTACCCTTCCACTCTGAATAGAAATGTCAAATCAATGGAAAAGACCATCATCCATGTACTGATAGCAAGAAGGTAGCTTAGGATGGGCTTAATGCCGCTACTTTTCCACAGTTGCTGAGTGACCTGCACAGTGATTTGGGTACCCTGATCAGAGATAATCTCCCGAGGAAGCACCTTGTTTAACATCCATGCCACCACAGCCGTCTTTAACACGGGGCAAATGGGGCAGCTGCCCCGGGCCCAGTTACTCCTGGGGGGCCCAAAGCAGCTGCCCCGTGGCCCCGCTGCCCACATGAAAAAAAATGATTTCCCTAGTGGGCCCACAGTGTAAGGGGGTCCGGTCTGCGCTGTGGCCCTTTAACAGCGCGACCGGGCCCCTTGCTTAACGGCTGCATGGGAGGAAGTGACGTCCGTGAATCACTTCCTCCCACCTCAGAGACATCGGGCCGCACGGGAGGCTGAGCCAGGATCCTGTGAGGAGGGGGAGCAAGGAGAGCCAGACCCCCAACTCCCACCCACCTCAGCCAGCACACAGGACCCCAGGGAAGGAAGCCTCTTGCAAAGGTAGGAGACTGAAGACTGTCTGTGTGTGTGTGTCAGTATGTATGTCTGTGTGTGTGTCAGTATGTCTGTGTCAGTTTGTCTGTATGTGTGTCAGTATGTCTGTGTGTGTCAGTTTGTCTGTATGTGTGTCAGTATGTCTGTGTGTGTCAGTATGTCTGTGTGTGTCAGTTTGTCTGTATGTATGTCTGTGTGTGTCAGTTTGTCTGTATGTGTGTCAGTATGTCTGTGTGTGTCAGTTTGTCTGTATGTGTGTCAGTATGTCTGTGTGTGTCAGTATGTATGTGTGTGTGTGTGTCGGTATGTCTGTGTGTGTCAGTATGTCTGTGTGTCAGATTGTCCGCGGTGTCAGTTTGTCTGTATGTGTGTCAGTATGTCTGTGTCAGTATGTATGTGTGTGTCAGTATGTCTGTGTGTGTCAGTATGTCTGTGTGTCAGTTTGTCTGTATGTGTGTCAGTATGTCTGTGTGTGTGTCAGTATGTCTGTGTGCCAGTATGTATGTCTGTGTGTGTGTCAGTATGTCTGTGTGCCAGTATGTATGCCTGTGTGTGTCAGTATGTCTGTGTGCCAGTATTTATGCCTGTGTGTGTGTCAGTATGTATGCCTGTGTCAGTATGTCTGTCACAGTGTGTCTGTGTGTGTCAGTATATCTGTTTGTGTGTGCATGTCAGTGTGTGTATCTGTATGTTGTCAGTGTGTGTGTCAGTTTGTGTGTGTGTGGCAGTGTGTGTATCTGTATGTTGTCAATATGTATGTATCTGTGTATATGCCAGTGTGTATACCTGTGCATGTATCTGTATGTAGCCAATGTGTGTATCTGCATGTGTGTCAGTGTTTGTATCTGCATTTGTCAGGTTATGTATCTGTGTGTCTGTATGTTGTCATTGTGTGTGTCTGTGTATCTGTATAGTGTCAGTGTATCTGCATGTGTGTGCATCTGTGTGTCTGCATGTGTGTCAGGTTGTGTGTCTGTATGTGTGTGTGTCAGTGTGTGTAAATGTGTCTGTATGGCTGCATCTGTACGATTGATAATATCTGTGTATCTGCAAGTGTTTCTCTGTCTGTGTGTGTAT